TGGCTGCTGCTGCTACAGCGCTCACGCCGTAAGTGTTGATCAATGCTACAAGGAGCGAGTCCAGTAGCGGCGGCAGCACCATCGTCGACAAATTCACGCCAGGTGGCGCCGCTCGGGGACATTCGTAACGGGTATATGGAAAAGCGCGGGTATAGAAGCTACGGCGGCGACACCTCGTGGCGAAACTTTGGGAGTACGATCTCAACAAAAAAAAACATTTTTAAAACCATTCCCCGTAGGTCTAGCACTGTACCATCGCCTCGCAGTACGGTATTGAGACAGATTCATTATAGAGAGATATAGTACATGGCATGATATATGTTACATGGTAGAGGGTATAGAAGGTATTTGGTATATGTTACGTGCATGATAGCTATGTGGTGCTGTGAAGCATACAATACGGAGTGACAGAGGCCACAGTGCTAGGCCAACGCTGCATAGGCGTATGCCAATATTTGCTATTATACAAGAAGAAAGGTTGGAGATCTAATGTGAATGCGATAATGCAATGTGTAAACCCACTCGCAGCAGGAACCAAGGGAACCGGGGTCTAATTAATCCAAGGTCAAATCAGAAAATTACAAAACAACGAGGTCTAACAATCAGGTATAATCGCATATAATCGATAATCAATATCAGTACACGCATCGTCGACAACAACAGTCAATAACAGTGTATGTATGGATTTTAATTGTAACTAACATTAGTGGGTGTCAGTTCACATCATGTGTACAGCATGTGTACGCAGATCGGTATTTATCAATAGCATAGGTGTTTTAGAGATCACTATCCTGTGCGATACGGCGTTTTTCCGATACTCGTGTTTTTTGTCTGTTAATGTTGTCCTCCCTGTGTGTGTTTGTGTGTGTGTGTGTGTGTGTGTGTGTGTGTGTGTGTGTGTGTGTGTGTGCATGTGTGTGTGTGTGTGTGTGTCTGTGTATCATACACGGGCTCTTTCCTACGCTCTCTCCCTCACCCTCTCTCTATCTATCTCTCTGTGTATCAGCGTGCGTGCGTGCATGTGTTATTTTGTTCTGGTCTGCTTGCGTACAGGCATGGGTGCGTGCGTGCATGTGCGTGTGTTCGTCCGGGAGCGCGTGCACGCGTACGTTTACATGAGCGTGTGCTTGTGATCCCACAATTCCGTATTGAAAATATACGCAGCGTCCTGACATCTGAAGTGTGAAAACACCAGCCAATCCTTATATATAAATCATGATTTATAGTACATAACCTACATTATAATCCATAATAAATTAGCCAGTCCTGCCCAAAGGTTAGCGTTTTCCCGACTGTAGGTGTGTGTCTGTACAGGTTCTATCTTCAACATTGATAGGATACACCTAAGCAAAGATAAGTTATTGTTACGATTGAGGGATTGAAAGTCCTTTGGTTGAACCATATGCTAAATTATAAACTCATAAAATACTCAAACAAATCGCAAATTGACGAAACGAGCAATCGAATTATGAATTGACGATTGAAATTGTGACTCGGAACTATGAAACGGGCAATTGAATTATGAATACTGAACAAATGAACATCTTTGATCAATTTTCGTCAAATCAAGTAATGAATCATTGAATCGACTGCCTTGAATCATCATTACATCATTGTCACACAACTTTTGAATCATTTGCACACATCTTTCAAATCATTCTGACACATCCACTGAATCATTTTCACACATTTTTTAAATAATGTTCACACACATCTTTTGAATCATTTTAATACATCTTTTGAATTACACATGTTCTTCTAATCCTAACGCACGCATTCTCTTCTTTTCTTCTTTCGCCAGCAGCTAGTGACGAGAGGCGGCGATGACCCTACCGTGGATAGCCGCCAGCACTGACCTATGGAAACTGCTGTTCGACCCCAAACCGCAGAAGACGAGAAAGAAGACAGAGGCGACATCTACCGGAGAGTTTGCGCCAGTCGAGACTGGGTAGAGCGAGAGCGAGAACTAGAGGACAGCGAGTTGGAAGTGAAGGAGGAAGAGGAGGAGGCGGCGGAGGAGGAGGTGGGGAGTGTGAAGGAGGAGGAGGAGGACGAGGATGATGAGGAGGAGGAGGTGAGAGAAGAGGGGGAGGGTAAATTGAAGGCCGAGAAGAAGAAGCAGAAGGAGAAAAGTACAAAGGTGGTGGTGGAGGAGGAGAAGGAGGAGGAAGCAGAAGAAGAAGTAGAAGAAGAAGAAGAAGGGGAAGAAGTAGAAGAAGAAGAAGACAAGGGGAAGAAGCAAAGAAGAAGACAACGCAAGAGAACTCAACGTCTCATCTAAACATCGAAATCAAAAACCGATTATCGAACTCCGAAAACAACAACATTACAGACTCCGAACTAGGACAGCGACACCTGGCGACGTTACGTCACTGCCCTACCGGCGTCGCCACGTGACCGCTGCTAGGCAACCACGTGATGACGCCGCACGACCTAGCTCCGACTCATCGCGCGTGCGCAGGGAGAAAACCGACGGATTCGTCGTCAACCTAGTCTGTACGCTCGCGCATGCGCCGGGAGATGTCGGCGGCGACGACGTTGACGATGGCGACGACGGTGACGATGACCACGATCGTCTGCTGACAACCTCGAAGGCGACGCAGTGCGATCTACTGCTTGCGTCGCGCGTTAGCCTTCCTTCCGTCTCTCCCGCGGGAAACGACGACAACGACGACAACGACGACGACGACGTTGACGGCGACGTTGACGTTGACGTTGACGTTGACGTTGACGTTGACGTCGTCGGTGACGACAACTCATGCTCCGTCGTCGGCGACGCCCGCCTGCCGACCGACGACCAACACACGACGTCGGCGATTCGTCGCCCGCACGTCCACTCTCAGGGAAACGCGCCACCTGGCGGTCGTTCCGGCGCCGCGACGGTGGCGCCGGCTGCCGGATTTGCGGGCGCCAATCTGGACCAGCGCGACGCTCTCGATCTGTCCGTGAGAGGCGCGCGGAGAAACAACGCGGCGGCAGTCTACGATCGCAGCCGCTCGGCGTCGGCTGAAACTCAGGGAAACACCGCATTGCCTCGCGATGCCGTGGGCGTGGCCTCCTCCCCCACACCCACCCGCCACGCCCCCAGCGGCCTCGATCTATCGATAGGGAACCACAATTCGCGATCTCTCCACTTCACCTTCCCCCGGGAAGGCGTTCCTTCCGCGGCCCGCCGCACCCCTCTCTCATCCCTTCTCTTCCGGATTCCGTCACCGTCTCTTCCGCTCTCCCCTCCCGTTCCTCCCTTGCTGTCGACGCCACTGTCGTTTCCCGCGAAAGAGTCCGAATCGCCCGTGATTCCCACACGCAAAGATGGCGGCGCGACGATGACGTCATCGGGTCGGCGAAACCCGAAGCGGGGTCGTGACGTCAGAGCGAAGTCGACGACGAAACTCGGAGAGACGGACGCGATTGCGACGCCAGACGGCGCTGTCATCGACTACACGAGGAGCTACGCGCGTTTCGCGCAGCGGCCGAGAGGTGGCGCTGACGGCGAGCATCCCGGGGAACCCATCGTCCCAGCGGCCATCAGTGCATCAACAGGTGAGCAGCTATGAGAGGCAAGAGCCCCTGCACAGAACAAGAACCCTATATAAAGAGACTGTAGCGGCCAGAGGCACATAGAGCCTTTTAGAGGAACTGTAACGTCCTTTATATAGATCGCGTCATCTGGTATTGCTAATACAAACCTTCATCGCGTTCAAACCGACAGAGATTCCGCACACAGGAATGAGAGAGTGCAGTTCTATAAACCAATGACGCAAATTACAGCTCATTATGCTATTATTATTATTATTATTATTATTATTATTATTATTATTATTATTATTATTATTATTACTACTATTATTATTATTACTATTACTATTACTATTACAATTATTATTATTATCATTATCACCATCTTCATAATAATAATCATCATCATCCTCACCATCATCATCTTCACCACCATCATCACCACCGCCACCACCGCCGCCATTACAGATCCCAAGCCCGACGGCGGCCGCATCAACGACGCCCTCTACCGGCTCGCCAACTGCGCGCCGTCGTACAAGCTGCTCGGCGGTCGGCACGTCGTCGGCGCGTACACGCTGAAGGCCGAGCGACGCAAGCTGCAGCGCGCCTTCACGTGCACCGTCTGCGACCGCAGCTTCGGCTACAAGCACGTGCTGCAGAAGCACCAGCGCATACACCGCGGCGAGCGGCCATACAGGTACGTGCGTGGACAGGTGAGGGGTGAAAGGTGAGAGGTGAGAGGTGAGACACATAATTATGTACATATATGTATATATATATGTATATATATATATATATATATATATATATTAT